TCTGGGTGGTAATCTTCAAGACACATACCCTAGGCAATGACAGTTCCATGACATTTTGCTGAGATCTGTTTGTACAAAATGGGAAGGTTCATAGTCTTTTTAACAGCAGACTTGGAGTATAGAAGAAGCCATCATAGGTGTCTATGTGTGTTTATTTTTCTCTACCACACTGATTACATTGCAACCAAATATTTCCAGAAGGGTCCTTGTTTATTTTTAAGTTCTCCTTTTGTGATTCAGTTACTTTGGGACATGGATGAGAACACTGAATGGAAAGATTAAAAACTCTACTCCTTGTTTTTAGGGAAAAATATTATTCGCTACTAGGAGAACAGTGCTCTTATGTTATTCTGACAGTGAAGTTCATTCAACTTTTGAAATGCTGCCTGCCACAAAAGAAGCTGAAGATTATGAGAAAGCTAAACTTGTGCTTACCAACTATTTCAAGCCTGCCTGCATCACAGATTTTGAATGATACAATTTCTAACAGGCATGGCAATAGGAAGGAGAAACCATAGATGTCTCTCATGCCCATTTGTGTCATCTAGCTTAGACCATGAAATAATAACGCATATTATACAGGGATAATATTGAGCTGAGAAGACATATTTTATGAACACCTCAGCATATGCTCACTATCTGAAAATAATAAATGCAGAGATGATTATGCTTCTTCACACTATTCCCCCGGATAGTTTTCCTTCAAGTCTTCAGCATCCTCAAAATTTATTTCAGGAAGCTGGTAAATTAAATGGGGAAAGGGTAAAAATTCACATTGATAAGACTATTCAGCCACTTGTATTCCATTTGAACTTTGACAACTGATGGAAAAGGAAGGAAAATTTTTGGAGGAACTTGACATCATTTAGCAGAAGGCTTCCATACACTATTAGTCTTCTCAGTAGTTGTTACCTAAAAATATAAGATATAATTCAAATTTATGTGGACAAAAAGCTGTCCAACAGAGACATGTTATTTCTATACTAGATAATGTATTTGGTTGAGCTATATGGTGCCAGGTTCTTCACCTTCCTCTTAATGTCGATTATGATCAATTGGAAATTATCTCTTTATGGAACTGCATTTTCCATATGTGTGCCTTGGCTACTACAGATGTGGTGGCTATTGTATTTTCTCCATTGCTGAAATAATCTAGAATGTCATGAATTATTTTCTGGGCTACAAAATGTATTTAATGTCAGTGGTGACATTCCTTGTATTTGGTGCAAGGAATCCCTTGTTTGCTATCAATTCTCTTAATACATTTAGTGATCAATAGCATAGGAAGTGGGAAAGTTTCATGCTTCTGGAGCTGTATTTCCAACTTTCCTAATGCAGACTTGAAAGCTTATTTTAATAAATCTTAAACATTATAATGGATGGCTGAGATCTTTTGTGCAGTTTGTCTCTTGTTTTTTCTGGGGGCTGTGTGCAGATGAAGTAAGTCAATACTGTTCGAACAGACAAGAGGCTGAATAACAACTCTCACCCACTTTTTAAAGGTGAATGTTCTTTTTCTTCATATATTAAGATTATAGAATGTAATTTCAGTGGATTTACTGAAAATTGATGGCAGCTGAGAAGTGGTTTCAGGCTGGCAAATAAAACCTTAGGGGAACAAAGCTTTAGACCAGAATTTTTCAAACTTGGCAACTTTTAGGATCTGTGGACTTCAATTCCCAGAATTCCCCAGCCACCATTACACCCATGCCTTTCACAAAGTGGATGCCCAGGTGCATTCATTTGTGCCTTTTGAGGCCTTTTCAAATAGGCTGCTTGTTCCCTGAAGTACTTTATGCAAGAGTTTGGGATTTATTCTTCTGCAGAGTTTACAGCCAACTGATCCCGAATATTGAAAGTTAATTTTACATTTCCATTATGCCATAAAGATTATCCAAAAAGTCTTTTATGAGAAGATTGTGTATGCCAAAAATGATGAGGTGATAATTGGCTTTAGAACAGCTTAACAATTTGAAAATCAGGAGAAATAGCAGTTTATGTAAAACAGAAGAAAAGGGAGGGGGCAACTCTTAGACACATGGCAAGTATTTTTTTTTCCTAGGTTGGTGATGGTTATATGCTGTCAGATATAAAGTAAAAATACTGAAAAATAAGTGCAAATGGCAGATGTGGGAAGTCAGTATTAAACTTTTTAATTTAATTTTAGATTTATTTTTTAAGCTTGGCCAAAGATGTATTTCTTATAAACCAATCAAAGTTTTTAGGTGTATGTCGCTTTTTCTATTGAAAATCAATGCCCATTTTAGCAGCTGTTAACATGCTTAATATAAATTCAAGGTCCAATACTTCAATTACATCCCAGATTGTATTCTTTAAATATGACATTGACTGCTGTATTTGAAATTATTGAAATAGCAGAGCATAAAACTCTTCCATATGTTCTATTACTTCTTAATAAAAAAAAAAGGAGGAAAAATAAACCTTGAAAGTAAATAAATGACAAAATGACCATTTATATAAGAAGATATTCTTTGTGGTAATTTAGTTGGGAAAATGTATTGGAGAGAACTTGATCTAAAGTCTACATTTATTGACGTGGTGTTTAATGAGGTTGTAGAGTACTTGTTATCTTTTTTTCACAGTGTTTGACAAGACATGGCCTTCAAACACACACATACACACACAGGTTTTATTCATGTCCCCTGGAGCTCTTATGACTGTGGTTAGTTTTCTGATTTTTTTTTATGGGTTAGTTTAATGTTTCTAAATAGTGTTGAGCCAAATGTTTCCTTGCAATTTCTTAAAAGTTTTTTTTTATTGCATTTTTTTTTCTTAACAAGGTGCATGAAACTTTATTTAGAATGTGTTTTAGTAGTGTTTTTGAAGTTAATTGGTTACTACAGTTGGAGTGGCATGAGATATCTATCATTAATGTTGCTTTCTGTTGTATATCTTTGCAGTGCTTTAATGACACGCTGTTTACACTGCCCTAAACAAGAAAAGCTTTGAGGAAAGATTGATATCATGAAGTCTTATTTTAACTGAAACCTGGGAAGCCAGAAAGAATGCAGACCATTAAAGAGACAATGGTACGGTGAAATACAGAGCATCCCAATAGAATTCTGGGCCAGCTAAGTAATTGGTAAGTACAAGAATGAATATCACACTCACACTTCAACCATGAACATTTTTTTTTCTTTGCAATTTCAAAAGAAAACACAATTCATGAGAACGGTTGAGAGTAAGAACTTTAATAAGAATTTATCAGGGGGAAAAATTAATATTGTGCACAACACTAGTTAAACCTATTCATTATGAAGGTTACACACTTTCTCTAGAAGATGTAAATGTGTCCCTCTAAATTTCATTTGCTGTGCATCAACTGTAGGTTTGTCTTTGAGCTTTTTGAAGGGAAGTGCTTTGACTCCATGGGACACAGGAATCTGAATTAGATAGACCATTGGTTTAATTTTTTTGGCTCTTACACTCAAGTATTTTTCTGTGGATATATTTTGTCAAATCATTCTTGATATCCTTCGGATGATTTTCTTTCTCTGAACACATTAAAAAGAAAGACTAATAATCATTTTTAATCTGGTTCAAAATTAATTGATGTCAATACAGACTTTGCTTTGCTATGTTTAGGCATATTTGCACAACACATTTAAGCAGGTGATGGGAGAGCAGGCTGTGTCAACTCCAAAGCCCAGATAACTAGCCTACTTAATTAACCTTGAAGATACTGGGTTTTTTGGAGGGGAGGGGGTGTAAGCAAACACTTTCTAGCTTATAATTTTCTATGTTGTGCGTATGCCTAACCTGAAAGATAACTGTTCCTTTTATTGTCTTTAATCAAGTCTAATTCTTAATGAGGCTCAAACAAATGTGCTGTCTCTAGACACTCAGTTGCTGACAGCTCTGCCCAGGAAGGTTTTTGCAACTTGGGTACCAGTTGTGTTTCAAAAGACTCCTTATAGTCACTCATGCCTTGATCATGTCATGTGTAAGCTAGGGCAATACTAATATGCATGGGGCTGGCCTTGAAAACCACTGGGAATCTGCAGCTGGTCCAGAATACGGCAGCATGAACATCAACGGGGAAGCCTCCTTATGGTTATGTAAAACCTTGTTTCATGATCATCATTGGTTGCCAGTTGGCTTCTGGGTGCAATTCAAGGTTCTGGATATTTTCTATAAATGCCTAAACATTTGAGGGAATACCTGTCTATTTTCTATACAATCCCACATGTCACCTGTTTGAGGGAGAACACAATTGTTCAGTTTCAATTGTATATTAGCCTTTAAGATCTAATGAATTAGTGAGTGTGCCAAGCAGATTGATCTGACTGAAGGTTATGTTGGACAAAGTTATTTACACATACATAGGCATGAATGATTTATTTTACATTGTGAAACTATCCAGAGTTCTGGATACTCTGTACTCCCCAAATAGCTTCTTTGGTACAGTTAGTGGTCTTGTATACTTCAAGAATCACTTCAAACTTTGGTTACCAACTAAATGGGTTAAATAAGTTTTCCAATGACAGCCATGAGTTTACTATTAAAATATCTGCCATTGCAGAGCCATGGTGGTGCAGTGGTTAGAATGCAGTACTGCAGGCTATTTCTGCTGACTGCCAGCTGCCAGCAGTTTGAGTCTCACTGGCTCAAGGTTGATTCAGTCTTCCATCCTTCTGAGGTCGGTAAAACGAGGACCCAGATTGTTAGGGGCAAATATGCCTTCTCTGTAAACCGCTTAGAGTGAGCTGTAAAGCACTATGAAGTGGTACATAAGGGTTAAGTTCTATTGCTAGTGCTATTGCAAAAAGTCATACTTGAAAAGGCTACGTAAAGAAGAAAACAATTTCTTAATCTATTTTTCTCTTAAAACTCATTATATTTCTAACCACACTTTGTGAGTTACAGTTCCTACTGCTTTGTAGCTTTGTAGAACTGAAAAAGAGTTTCTGAGGTATGAGCAACTGCAGGGATGATAACATGTATGTGATAACTTTTATCAAAAAAATGCCTTAACTTACATATTTCAGTTGGATGTCTGAACCCAATGCCATTTTTGTGGTGATGTCACTGGTTTTCTGCAGCTGCCATTGATCTAAAGATTTATGATAAAGGATGACTGGAATTGAAAAGTCATGAATCTTTCCAGCCTGCTGCCTTGTGTATTTTAGCTTTTGTACAAACTACCCATTTCTCTCAGAAGTTCAGATTTTTCACTATTTCTTGTCTTTGATTCAAGACTAAGTTGCTAGAGTTTTGGTTAATGAGCCAATTATATTCAGACAAGATAACCATTGTGCAAGTGTTGTGCTAAGATAAATTGCTATGCTAATAGCGCAAATCTTCCTGCACTTGATGACTGAAATGTACAATAGAAAGAATGTGCATTTATTGGGAACTGTGACTAACCCTTCTACCACTACCACTCATGTAAAATTTTCATGAAAAAAACCCACAGAAATTCAGAGTTTGAAATTATCATTCAGGGGAAGGTAAGATTTTTGGAAGTCAATTAAGACATTAGGAAGAAATGTTTGCGACTAACTAATTCAGATTACAGGTGGAAATGTATTTTTTGAATGTCCCCTTGAAGGAGCTTCAAGTATGAAATAAGTAAGAAAGTCAAGGGGAGATTTAAGGTAAATCTAAATTATTTCCTTCAAAGAGATAATTCAGAATCATAGCATTAGATAGGGACAATCCAATCCGTTGTTCAGTTAAAAATGCTGATTAATGTATCTCCAAGCACATGAACAGCTTCTTGAACAAATGTAATGAAAGAAGATTCGCCACCTCCCATGATCATCAGTTCTACACTCAAAATGTGCCTGTAGCTGTGCTGTATGTTGCCAAGAACTTATAAGAAAGTGCTATGATATAGATGTCTAGTTTTTCAGCTGGTCTTGGTTATGCAAGGACAACTGAACAGGTTTAGGTGTTCCAATGAAACAACTGATTGACTGGGCTTAGCTCAATTGTGACTTAGCTCAATTGTGTGTATGGCTGAGTTAATTTTAGTTTAAAATTAATCTCCTGAATCAGCGATAGAAAGAAAGAAGGATGGTTTATTCTGGTTTTAGACCAGCACAATCCTGAATCAATTGATTACATTTAAGTATGTTTGCATAACACACTTAATCTCCCCTAGAACCAATTAAGCAGGCTGGGAACAGGGTGCAAATATGTTTGGACATATTAAATATGGAGCTACTTACTCCTCTGCAGGGTAGGTTGATTTACCAATCAAGCTTTGCTAATTTCTTTAATGTAACAAGCCCATGTGTCATCAGCAGCCAACACGCTAAATTAAAAATAACACATTTTGGTAATTATATGACTCTTGAATCATTGTATGAGGCAGATGGGGTGTAAATAACAACATTTATTCATTGTGCAACATTGTCAGGCTATCTTTTGTAAACCATGGTCCCAAGAGATGATGGGAGATTTAAAATCACCATGTTTCCACATCTTAAAAAATATAAAAAGTGAATAACACTTCAAATACATTTCTTTTTAATGAAGTACCTTTAGGAGTCGTGAACTAACACGACGACTAGAAATGATATCCTCTTTTCTTGCATCTCATTTCTACTACATTGCAGAAAACATTTATTTTGCCTCCTCCTGTCTCTAAACTCCATATGAACAAAAGGCACTTGTCACCATTTGAAGGACAGGGTTATTTGTGGCTACCATCTTTATCTTTGTGGTATGCTTAGCCCCAAATGACTTTTTAAAGCACTCTAGAGGTTACCTGAATGAAATTTCATGCCTTCCTACTGACCGAATTTCTTTAACTTCTTTCTGGGTTAAAACCACAAAATGGTTTTTTTAAACAAAACAAAGCAAACTAATTCAAACAAACAATGTGTAGGAAGTATGAATGAGTGCAATGTATGTATGCATGCATGCATGTATATATGTATGCATGTATGCAAGTTTTGATGTATTCGGGTCTTTTCCCGTGTAAGATTGAGAGTATCTTGGTGACGTTTCGATGAGGTCCCACTCATCATCTTCAGGCTGGTGTCTTCGGCTTCGTACCCATGCGAGCAAAGAAAGACGGAGCTGCCGTCTCTCTATAAATACTGGTGGGGAGGTGTGGGCTGCTGGCTTTGTTGCTGTGAGCGGGTTGGTTGCCTGTGTTATTACATCTTGATTAGTTGATGGACAAATGATGGTCACAAAGCTGAAGGCAGCAGCCTGAAGATGACAAGTGGGACCTCATCGAAACGTCGCCAAGATACTCTCAATCTTACACGGGAAAAGACCCGAATACACCAAAACTTGCATACCTCTACCCGTGAAAATCTACGAAAACAAGTATGCATGTATGTATATATTCAGAGTTCTTCTGAACAAAGAATGATGTTTCATAAAGAATTAAGGGGCAACCCTATTACTAGGCAGAGTAGGATGTTTGTGTCAAGTTGTAGATGCTGAGGAATTGGAAACTAGGTGTTTGTGGGAGAGTGATATTTATTGGGCCCTTTTTCTAACATCATCTAAACCAACGTATTCCTTCTAAGTATGGTGAATAACATGGTTTGTAAATATGGAACAGAAAATGTTTTATTCAAAAAATGATTGCTTGATTTGATCAATTATATGCTGTCAAGTTGGTGTTGACTCAAGTGACCCCATAGATAGATTTCCTTGCTTATGATCTATCCCTACCCTTTTCTTTCAAGTCCCCCAACAGTGCGTTCATCACCATCATAATTAACACTACCCACCTAGCTCTGGTTGTCCCCTTCTCTTTCTTTTTATTTTTCTTAGCCTTAGAGCCTGCTCTAGAAAGCTGGGTCTTCACAGAATGTCTTTGAAATAAAGAAACCTTGAGCCTATTCATATGTGCCTTGAGTGGGAACACAACAAAATGGGTTTCTGGTAATTTCTGCATTGAATGGTCTATAGCTATCCATGTCAATATCAAGGAATTCCATTAATTATGACATTTTATTAATAAGATGTCTTGGAGTGGTAAAAGTGTGCTACTACTAAATATTCTGACAAATGGATGATGCAGAAAAAACAATTACTACCAACCTGCCTTCCATTGAGAACCTGTATACTGCAAGAGTAAAACAGAGGGCTGTGAAAATATCTACAGACCCCTCACATCCTGGACATAAATTATTTCAACTCCTACCCTCAAAATGACACTATAGAGTACTGCACACCAGAACAACTAGACACTAACTCCCTACCTAACTCCCAACCAATCAGAATGAAAAGGTGGAGCCATCCCAGAATACCAGCACCAGATTTGAAATTCCAACGTCAGTTAGTGCAAAATGACTACTGGCATAAGCCTGATGATGGCAGATGGGATTCTGCCGAAACGTCGCTTCTACCCTTTTAGGGATATATCCACAATTACACGGGAAGAAACCCGAAATATTAACTATACACACACACACACACACACACACACACACACACACACACACATATATATATATATGTATGTATTTCCTGTAAAGATGAACTTATCACAGGTTTATTTTTCACTGCTGATCAAACAGATGTTGCACATCCTCCCAGGGATTTTCAGATTTTCCCAGTCATCTTGCCTTAGTGAGCTGCCAGATGTTCTCAGACTCAGAAGCCTTTCTGATCAGAGACAGAAATAGGAAAGCTCCAGCCAAAGCAAAAGGGTTAGGAGTAAACTATTTATTTTGCTTTTTGCCAAGAATTGGGATAAATGTTCAAAACTGGCAAATATAGAAAGGCAGATGGGGCCAAAGCACAGTATTCTTTCTGCGTTGATATACCATCTACAGTTATTTATGGGCTACAAACTGTCACTTCTTATTCTGGGCACATTGAGACTAATTCATCTGAATTCATGATGATAAGGTTGACTAAATGGCATCTCAGCAAGTTCTGCCATTTAAACCTGAAAGAGAAAAGAAGAATCCTTTACGTTCATGTGGAATAATGGAAATGAAAATTAACCTGAGCAAGCAGTATTCAACAATGGCTTATATCAGATCATTCTGCTTGTCTACTCTTTCGCCCCTCTGCTGTGGCTCCCTGTCACTCAAAATATGTGTCACAACCACTAATGTGTGACACTCACTGGCACACGATTTATTGAGCTTTTCAACCCCTGGTAGGCCAACCATGGATAACCCCAAGAAAATAAAAGTTTCAGAAGAAAACAGAATGTTTAATTCAACTACATATGCTAGTTTTGTGGCCGCTCAAGAAATAGTCAGGCACAGGAAAGGTTTTGTGGCTCCCGGTGTTTTCTTTTCTGTGAGAAACGGGTCCAAATGGCTTTTTGAGTGTTTAATGTTGCCGATCCCTGACCTAGACCAGTGTTTCCTAATCTATCATGGATAATTCAGAGATACTGGGAGTTGAAGTCAATAGATCTGGAACTTGCCATGACTGAGAAGAGAAGGCCAAGTCTGTCAGCAATTCTGATTTAGGTGAGAATGTTTCCCAGTCAGATTAGAGAGGGGAAAGTTTAAAAGTACTGTTCTCAACTAAGTAATGGCTCCTCACAACTGGGGAGCAAAATTGAACCAGATTGACTGATTGATTGACTGCGTCAAGTAGTTTTTAACTCCTGGTGATCACATTGTGACCTCCATAGTTTTTCTCCTATCCTGTTTTTTAAGTCTCCCAATGGTGCACTCATCAGCACCATAACTGAGTCCTTCCACCTTGCTGCTGGTTGTCCTCTTCTTCTCTTTCCTTCCACTTTTCCAAGCATTAAAGCCTTTTCTAGACAGCGGGATCTTCACATTTATTTATTTATTTATTTATTTATTTATTTATTTATTTATTTATTTATTTATTTATTTATCAAATTTCTATACCGCCCTACTCGCGAAGGACTCAGGGCGGTGAACAGATTTAATTCAAATATTAAAAATCCCTTAAAATTATTAAATATTTTGGCCGAAACACAGATTAAAACACCCAATTTATAAAATCACGAATTAAAAAATTTAAAAGAGGAGAGTTAGGCCAGGCCAGCCTGTTGAAATAGAAAAGTTTTGAGAGCACGGCGAAACGTGCGCAGGTCCGGGATCCTCCGTATCTCTGGGGGAGCTCATTCCAGATGGTAGGTGCCCCCACAGAGAAGGCTCTCCCCCTGGGGGCTGCCAGTCGACACTGTTTGGCCGACGGCACCCTGAGGAGCCCCTCTCTATGGGAGCGTACTGGTCGGTGAGAGGCTATTGGTAGCAGAAGGCGGTCTCGTAAATACCCCGGTCCGATGCCATGGAGCGCTCATAATGTGTTTGAAGTAGAATAATTTGACCCCATGGTCATTTGTATTTATTTACATGTGGAAGAGAAGACATTATGCTTGCTCCTTTTTTGTAACCCACCACAGAATCCCTATGAGACAAATTAGGATGGCATTGTGTTTCTTGCCTGGAATCATCTAATTTTGCTCTGCATTGCCTCCTGTCCGCCCCTGTTGTAATTTATTTTTTTCTGATGGAGAAATTGAGGGATTTCCCCCCCACACACACCCCAGCTTTCTTCAGTGCTTATTTTCATATTAATTATATATTTTTTCATAGCTAAAGCAACTGACTTATTGCAAAGCTTATCCAAACAGTATGCTGAGACTTCTGATATACTAAATAAGCACTCTTAATTGCCAGAGTAAATGTTGCCAGGTGTTCGTATCCCTTGTCCTAATAAATAAATAATTAGGAAATGTGATTAGTAGAATATCAGTTCCCTGGAGGTTCAAACCATTTGTAGAACAAAGGGAATGCACATTCATAAATGCTGAAACTTGAATTTCTGATGTTCCTAAGAGAGGTTTCCTTGTGGGAGTCAAGTCACTAGTCTTAAGATCATATGAGGCCCACGTTCTCATACAGTATCCTTTCTATGATGCCCCCAAGATGTTCTCTGATGGTCCCAATCATTTCCAAATATGAGGGCCATGCAGATAAATTTTATGTTTATTACTTTTTAAGAGATGCTAACCCTACACTCATATCAAGTGATCAAAAATTTTCAACCAGTTGCAAAACTGCACAAAACTTTTTAAGAGATGTTTATTGCCCTATTATTTCCCCCCACCTTCCCTAATAATGGAATAGAATAGAATTCTTTATTAGCCAAGTGTGATTGGACACACAAGGAATTTGCCTTGGTGCATACACTCTCAGTGTACATAAAAGATACATTCGTCAAGAATCATAAGGTACAACTAATTGCTGTATTAAACTATTTCTTCTTTTACTATATTCCCTTGCTGTCAAAGATCATAATGAAGATATTTGATTTGATTTTGTATCAGGCCATACAAGTGCAGAACTGTATGAAAGAACTCTGAATGTGGTTAGCTTCCCAAAGTCATTGTTGGAATTTGCAGTCACAAAATATGGTGTTGATCACCATCAACTCAAAGTGTTTTCAAGGGGCTAGAAAAGGGGCATTGACTTTCTCATGAGGAGAAAGTCAATGGTGGCTATATAAAACTCATTTGTGCTTCTGACAACCAATTGCTTTTGGGGAATCATACCCTACTTCTAATCATTGGGGAAAACTGAATTAGATGATTCTTTGGTATGTTCTGACTGACAGGACATTTTCATACTTAGAAATCAATTATTTTTTAAAACACACATTTGTAATCTAATCTAATCTAATCTAATCTAATCTAATCCTTCTCTCTCAGTCCAGCCTGCCTCACAGGCTTGTTGTTGTGGAGAAAATAGGAGAAGGAAGGTGTGTTGAATATGTTATTTGCAATATATATATATATATATTAAATATGGGATACAAACAAACAAATATCATGTAATCCATTTATTTCCCTTCCCTTTTAATTTCCAATGATCCAATAAAATGTTTTCAAAAGCCAGAATCAAATTTTCCCAGCTACCGACTCTCTTGAAACAAAGAAGAGAGACAAGTATACTATTTTCCCAAGCTTCTATCAAAACAATCAATAGCCTTTAATCTCTTGCAATTTACGTAACTGCATCCTCTTGCTTTCACTGTACACTTCTCTTCTGTTTCTCCTAAAGGTTAAGAGACGGAGTGGATGACCGTCAGCTCACTGCTTTAATTACTTGTATATTCTAACCATCTTATTTCCCTATAACTTTTATTGTGCTCATCTGTTCAGAAAAGGATAGCTTCTTCTGGGCTCATTTGCTGGTTAATTGCATTCTCAGATCTTTTAAGACGTGTGTAGCACCTGCTCTCCACTTCACAGACTCTTTTGATCTCCCTAGAAATATCCAACTTCGATTATGTGAAAATCTTTCCTAACTGTAGTACGTGCTTAGAAAGCAAGTTGGAAAATTGCTGGAGGAACAGTTGTGATCTGGGAGAAAAAATGAGAAAGAGACTGTGTTAGGACTGGAAACAGAGAAATGTATTTTGGAAGTAGAAGAAAATGCAATAGGTCAAACCATTTCCTTGGTTTGAGAACTTCTTTGCCAACTCTGATTCCGTCAGACATAAAATAGGACTCAAATGATTTTTTTTTAAAAAAAATCCAAATGCCAGTATTTTATTTTAGCCAATCAAAATTCATTAAGACTTCTAGCTACTCTTAGGTTAATAAGCCCTTCTCATGTGAGATCTAATCCTACTTTAGTTGTTAGTCAGCTATATGACCTTGGATCAATCACTCACTTTCAGCCCTAGGAAAGGGAGAAATCATTTCCAAACTGTTTCTAAAATCTAGCCAAGACAGTTGTAGGAACCAAGGCCGGGCAGTTGTCAGGGCTCAACACTGTCAAAAAAAAAAAAAAAAGAGTAGTACAGGGGAAGAATTTGCAAAATATTTTAAAGAGGTTTGGATGACATGTGACAGGACTAGTGAAGTATTTGTGTGCATTTATTTATTTTATTCATCACATTTAGAAACCGCCCATCTCCCTTCCTTCACAAAGGGATTCTGTGTAGTGTACAATGCATTGAAGCACCTACATCATTTGCAAGGTTCATATCAGTGGTGAAATTCAATTTTTTTTTTACTACTGGTTCTGTGGGCGTGGCTTGGTGGGTGTGGCAGGGGAAGGATACTGCAAAATCTCCATTCCCACCCCACTCCAGGGGAAGGATACCACAAAATCCCCATTTCCTCCCCACTCCTGGGGGAAGGATATTGCAAAATCTCCACTCCCACCCCACTCTGGGGCCAGCCAGAGGTGGTTTTTGGCGGTTCGCCAAACTACTCAAAATTTCTGCTACCGGTTCTCCAGAACCTTTCAGAACCTGCTGGATTTCACCCCTGGTTCATATAGCTATTTTGAAAGGTGGAATCAGTCAGCCATTTTAATGAAAGAAAATAATTTATCATATGAACAGCAATTTGCTTAATGAATGCATTTAATTTTAATGAATATGCAACTAAATTAGAACTGGTCTTCTTTTCTTCTCTCTTTCTCTCTTCTCTTTTGTTTTTGTTGTTTCTGGTCTTTCTGAATTACTGACTGATTATAACTACTTTAGCCCGGTGCATGAGTGAGTTGATTTGTAGTTAAGATCTAATGTTAGTTAGGTCAATTGATTCCTTTTTGGTGGTTCCATCACATTCTCCAGCTCCTGCTGACCCAGAAATTGGAAAGCAGGTGACCACAAGTACAGAGATGGGTACCACTTTGGTGGGCAAGTTAAGGGACATGAAAGGACCCCCAATTGGGCATCCCACAGACAAGGGTGATGCCACCCCTCAATCCTTTCAACCTGGAAATGTTTTGGCGTTTCTTGACATTAATGTAGTAGTAGTAAGTGGTTCCACAGCACATTAACTCTCTAATTAAGCTTGTGGTTGGATCAGAGTCACTGGATGATATCAGTCCAGTTGCTATCACTCAGCTTTTTCTAACCCACAGAGCTGTTATGGGGGAGAGAAAAAATGAATGATACCGGGAGTGGGAAGAAGCCACGTTGATTGGATAATTATCAATATGTGCATACAGTCCCTAAACATATAATAACATGAAGGCAAATACTGTGGATGTATATTGAACCAGGTTTCCAGAATCAGCAGTTTCAGTGGTAAATAAAAATTACT